TTTCTTCAGTTTACTCAGAACGTTTCGGCTTCAATCACTTGGTCGTGGTAAGTAAATTATTAGGAAGCTTCGAAAAGCAAAAGAAACCATTTTGAATGTTATAAACTAAGTGTCAAGACGCCGCAAATATTGGAAGCAATTGAGATAGATATAACATTCACGCTCATGATCGACTTCATTTAAGCTGATCGATTTGTCAATGTATGTAAATTATCAGTCCTGTTGATTCACTATTTTGCAGTTGTCTCATCTTTTTTTGATCTTTTAATTCATCTCAATTCTACGATGTTGCCTATATGTCTCCTACTCTATTCAGCGACTTCAGTCATCAAAAAGATAGGCAACGAAAATCTGTATCATGTAACTGCCAAATTAATAAGATCACGTAACAGGAAGACGAAAACATTGGTAAAGTTTCGATATGGTTAAGAATAACAGTGGAAAAGCTTCTGTTTGGAAACCAATTTTAAGGGTGTGGGTGTGGGTATCAATCATGTGTAAACCCACACCCACACCCCACACCCACACCCACACCCACACCCACACCCATACCCACACCCACACACTCACACACCCACACACTCACACACCCACACACTCACACACCCACACCCCAATTAATCATTACCGGATCTTGTATTAATGTTGATTGAGGATGCCAACTAATACAACAAGCATTTCTTGTTTGACCACGTAATGTTCGGACATGTTTACAATCTGGTATCGTCCAGAGTTTACATAAACCACTTCTGCAATTAAACAAAAATATCTATGAGAATAAGATTAAAATTTAGGATTCACATATGTAATCTATACTATTACTCTTTACGATCTGATTTACTGTAAATTCGTGATTAAGAAGAGCATTAACTAATATCCTTCGATCTTGACTTGACTATAAATAAGACTATGTTAATATATGCTATTGTTCAGGAGATATAAACTTTGAAACTATTATCCATTTTGGAACAAAATAGATAACACGAAATATGTAGGATGAATTTCGTCTAACCTTTTCCACGACATTTATTCGTTCGAGAAAAAATCTAAATTTCCTTTCATTTTTGTTGTCACTTCTTTAATTATTCTTCTTCTTTTCATTAATTTAATAGCAAATTATTCTCAGATATTCATATATTGACTTTTGTCTAACGTTAGAAACCCAATCATCTCATAGCTTCTATCCACAGCTCTTATGAAATATCAGTGTACTTGTTAAAAACCACAGACTATTTATTTAGACAACTGTAAAATACCTTATCGATGTTTGATTTCCTCAAAAAATCTATGTGAATTCGAAAAACAACAATGCAAAAAAATAAAATATAAATACCAAGAAGAAGCAGCAACCATTTTATCATTTGGACCAAATTCACAATATGATAAAGGACGATTATCACCTAACTGACTGCAATGTAATGTTGTAGCCTATAAAGGATAAATAGAAAAAGATAAAGAAAATTGAAATTAATATTTACTCGTAATCGACAATATAAATCTTGAATTTTAGCCGTTCGATATACTTCAAGTATAGCAACATATTATTTTAATTTTTGAATACATTCTTTTACTCTAGAATTTAAGTTAAAATAGATTCTAGAATAAAAAGATCTAAACAATGAAAGTTTTCGTCATGCTAAATCTTAGTTCCTAATCATTGTGAAGTTTAAATAGTATAGATGGAATTCTGTTTATATCAGTATTTCATCACTCACACAAATAAACTGATGATCTTTAAAATTAAGATTAGAAAATAAAATAAATCAAATCAATTTTGTACTCATTTTACTGATTAATTTGAACAGTCTTTACGTACAAACTGATGTTTCTCGATTTTATAAGTGGAAATATTTTAATACAAATTCACATTATATAACTTCGAGTTTGATGGAAAATGCCAAAAAGGAAAAATGTTCCTAGACTACTTAATTCAATGGTTTCTTCTACTGTTGTTTCTTGTCAAGTCATCTAAACTTTCTTTAGTCACTCCTTGAAAAAGCAAACTCAACATCTCACTATGATTGTAATAGTAAATCCCGTATTCGCATTAGAGAGTTGTAGGTCTACAAAAACGTGAACTCGAACAAGGATCTAGAATGATCCGTAGCTCTCATCCTGTATATCATGTTGATTATGATAAGAGTACGAATACAACGTTTACCATTTCAATCATAATGAATAAAATCTAAATATTCTTACTGTTAATTTGATTCAAAGTTTATCAAATATTTTAGCATTCATTATCCATTTAATACAATTAAATGTATTTGTTAATGTTGATCAATTATAAGCAGATAAAATAGGTTCTGGTGACCATTGATCGTAAAATTCATTTTGTTCATTATTTGAATAAGTTAATAAAAGATTCAAAAATAATCATTGCTAATTTTTGTTTCATTAAACGATTATATTCTCTTTTTGAAACAATTTTTTCAATTGAATGTTTATAATCTTCATTTTGTTTATTATCATTTTATTGATTAACTAATAATGGCAAAAAAGTGCTTGTAATTGAGGAAAATATTCAACTAATGCCAATTTAATATTATTAAAAATTGAATAAAGTTCTTGTTGATTTGAGAATGATGAAATAAAATAAGTTGAAAATAAAAATGAATTATATTCATCAATAGAATTAATATTAAAAAATTCTCATGGAAAATCTTTTATTTTATATGAAGATTTATTATACCAATATTCTATTATTGATTCAATTTGAATATGTAATATAATACGTTTAATAATATTTTTTTTGATAATTTTATTTTTTATTTCAAGTTGAATTAAATAAAAAAATTATTTGTTGTGAAATATATTCACCTGACCTCCCACTCGACCTCTTTTTCCTCTTTTACCTCTTTTTTTTATAAATCCTCTTTTTTGACCTCTTTTTGAGGAAAAATCCTCTTTTTCCTCCTTTTTCACGAAAATAGCACCTATTGACGAAAAAGTTTGTTATTATTGGTTCATCCGATGGTTCACAGTGCGATTTATCTTTGTCAACATATGTTTGCTTCTTGTTTCTATGCGGTCATGGCAAATACGACCACTCTATCTGTCTGGGCGTGCTCAGTTAGCTTCATACCCAGTTCACTTTTGATTATAACCATTAGCTGTACTACGCAATCTTCGGTTATCTTCGATCCACTGATCAATGCGAAAATGTGGCTGGGATTTGGGCAAGATAAGTGCATCGAACTCCGCTACTTGTACTTAAAAGTGATCTGGGGTGTCAAGCTAACTGAGCACGCCCATATATACAGCAGAACCTCTTTAGTGGACATCCAAGAGGCCTTTTCAAAGTGTCTACTATATGGAGGTATTCACTTTTGAGAGGTTTTCAATTTTTGTTCTGTAATCATTGTTATGGTTACTAAAGTGCTTTCCACCCCCTTCCTTACGGTTATGTCCCATGGAACTGTGTTCGAATCAGCGTCACTCATCAGTTATGGAAATCTGTTTCAATTTCAGCGATTCTTTTTGAAATAGCTAGTGATAAAGCTTTGTTTAGACAGTTTCCAGTCAAGATGGACATCAGTCATCTCCGGCTCGAATTCGCTTACAAGGAATTGTTAATTTGTATTGCTTAATGAGTAGATAAATACACTTGTGTTCAATTCTTTCTTTCGCACTTCCTGGTCTATCTTCTCATGATTACTTTCTATTGCAGGATACATCGCATACTGATCTATTCAGTGGGCATTTACATGCACAGCTCTGTTCCGGGAAAAATGAACATGTTTCAAAATCCGGAAAAGAGAAATCTAGAAAACAAAAAATACGGAGGCTTCAATTTGGAAAAGAGGATTCTAAAAGAAAAATCCTGAATTTCAACATGAAAACTCGATTTTCTTGCGCGAAAATCTTTTTGTAGATTCCCGTTTCCCCGATTTTTGGTTTCCAAATTTTGACACAACACTGTAAAAATAGCATAACTATGATCTGCATTCAACGGTGA